AGGCTTAGAAGGTCTGGACTTAGGGACAATAGCACTAGACATCCTCACCATCATCTCAGCAGGTCTCAGCAGCAGGCTGTGGGGGCAGCATCATCAAACCCATTTTAGCGCAGAGGAAACTGGGGTCAGGACAGATGCCACACCCAGGACACACAGCTGGTAACAGTGATCAGGCTTTATCCCAGCCATATGGCACTCCTGCTTCTCTTTCTCAGTCTTCTCAAGGAGCAACAAATTCAAAAGCCTGTCTCTTTTGCCTGTTTCCCTCATATGGACTCTGTCCCCTATTATTGTGTCCACTTCCATAACTTTCAGGAGCTGGGTTTCTAAGGTTTCAGAAGTAAGTGGCCAGACCAGGGCAAGAGACCAAGCAGAAAGATGCCTCTGGGTTCTGGCCTGCACCCCCTCCCAGCCCAGTTTGCATCTGAGAGTCTATAAATTCCATTATTCATCAAGTGACTTCCTGAGTTTGCCTGGACGATGAATATTTTATTCACCTCCAGACATTGTCCCCAGTGGGTCCTTGGAACAATCTTGTTCCTCAGCCAAGGAGCAAAGGCCATACCCTCTGTCTTCCCTCAATATTGCCTCCTGCCTCCCCTCATCTTCTTTTCCAGAAGGACCCCTGGCTCTAACAGGGCTGTGGTCAGTGGTCCCATCATGACCTTGAACTTGGTGCTTACCCCCTCTTCCTTTTGGTGTCTCCCTGGACAACAGGTTTGTTGATTGCCTGGGCTGCCTCTCCTGGGTCTCTCCACAGCATCACCCTCCACAGCTGGGCCCTGGGCTCTGCCAGGAGCTCTCCCTGGTGCTGAACATGGGTGGTGATAGGATGCTGGCCTCAGAGAAGAGGTGTCCAGCCCGGGAGCTGGGGATCAGGCTAGTCTTGAGAGGAGAGGGCTCTTGTCTCCAGTATCAGGGGTCCGACCTCTTGACATAGTGGTTCTGCTTCTTTCTTCTTGCCTCCCAGCCACTGGGGAACTTCCCAGAGTTATAGGTTTTAGTAATCGCTTATCCCGGTATTTCCAGCCCCTTGAGCCAAGGATTAGTTGGGGAGGTCTGCAGAGATCCCTACTGGGAGGCCCCAAGGAATATGCATGTCCTGGTGGGCACCCCAGAGAGTGCAGTGTGATGGCAGCAGCACCTTCCCCAGATGGGGGAGTGACAGACATAATTCACACCCTGTGATCATGCCATCTGCTCTCGTGACGTGCAGAGGAGAGGACGGGGCTGCAGTGCTGAAGGGTAGGTGGGTGAGTGGTGATAGTTCATTCATTCATTTCTCATTCATTATTTGACAGATGTTCATCCAGGTTCTTCCACCTTCCCAAGCCCAGCCAAGCCTGGTTTTGGGCACAGGAGATCTGGGGGACACAGACCCAGACCCTGCCCTCCAGAGCTAAACATGGTCCTTTCACACTTCTGAGCTTTGCCCACTCTGGCTCTTCCCCCCCGAACTTCCCAACTTATAATTAGAGCCACCATATCCCTTGTCCTAGGTATTTCACAATCAGAATCTAATCATTCATCCCAAGGGCTAGATGTACTCATGTTTAACAGCTGGGTAAGGTGAGGCTCAGAGAGGCCACAAAGCCAGTTCTGGCTCCTCCACATAGAGCTCCTACTGCTCATGGTGCTGCCTGCCCCACTTGATGTCCAGAGATTTTCCAAGTCCTGCCTCCATGTCCCTCTATAAAAAACGTGCCATCCCCCCAAACCCTAGTCTTTCAGCAGACAGCATGAGCCACAGCCTTGGCCCTGTCTGCAAGCCCCTAGCACAACTAGCTCCTCCTTGTCCTCTGACTCCTGGCCTGGGGTTCAGGGCCTGGCACCCAGGAGTTGCCCAGAGAACCCTGACACACAGTGAAGAAGTAGCAAGGAGGTGGACAGCAGCTCCCAGAGGCAGCAGGGTTCCTGCTAAGCCAGGAAGGGAAAGAAGAAGTTGGCATGGCCCAGAGCCCAGCCGCTGGAGCCCCTGCCCCCGCCTTGGGCTCCAACCCCAGCTCTGCCTCAGATGGCTACATGGCCCAACCTGGTCCCTTCAGCTCTCTGAGCGGGGGTGTCCTCGTCTATAAATGGGAACTAGGCTGCACTGTGCTCTGAGGCAAGGGGGGGACTCAGCAAGTCACATGCATAGCCCAGGTGTGGCCCATGTACCTACCCAGCAGACAAAGAAGGGAAAGCAGGTGCAGCTTGTGGCATATGGAAGCAAAGTGCTGACTGCAGCCCCCTGGGTCAACAGCCTGTGCCTTGGGCCATGCATGGCTTTACACCAGGGGGGAGGACAAGGATCAGTCTGAGTCACCAAGGGACTGAGGTGACAGCAATGGGCGAAGCAGTGGGGTACAACACAAACATGGAGTTATACTCCCCAGCAGGCCCTGTCCCTTTGGCCTGAAGGGAGCCTACCTCAGGGAGCACCCTCGTCACAAGGTGAACAGCCTGACTCCTGGCCTCAGACCAAGGCCCAAGTTCTGGGAGGAGGCCCAGCCTGTGTCTCTGTGGACACCCACAAACTCCCTCAGCAGACTAACAGGGCCCAGCCGTGCTGGCCCACTTGATTTTCACTTGATTTACTCAGGGACTGTTTCTGCCACTCCATGGGATGAGTGCCAACACTCTCTATGGCAGCAGCCTCCCAGGGAGTCACTGGGAACTGGGTTTCCCCCTTCCTCAGCCCAGTGGTCCTGACTGAGAACTGGCTGGCCCGGGCTTACACAGCCTGCATCCTCAGTAAACACTGAAGGAGAGAACTGCCACTGCAGCTCACCCTCTCAATTAATTATTATTAGTTCCTATTTCTCGGTGGGGGTGGGGGGGAGGGATCTTGATGCTAATAGGAAACTCCCAAGAGATGTGGCAACACACTGCTATGCACCTCTCATTCACTACAACCTTACTGCCGCCTGGGACAGGCACTGCTACCCTCACTTCCCAGGTGGGGAAATTGAGGCCTTGGAAGGTTAAGGGACATGACTACAGTTCCACAGTGAGGAGGTGGCAGATGTTCCGGTATGCCTGACACGGAGTTCTGAGCTTTCTCTCCCCTACACCTCTGCCCCATCAAAAACCCTAAGGGAACTCAAAGCATTCAGACCTACTGGTGGAATTTCAGACAATGGGACAGGGGTGGAGGAGAGCTTTGGGGTGGGCGCTTTTCTGGAGTCTCTTACACCCCAGCCCCAGGTCTTAACAGGCAGCCAAAGAAGCCTGGGGAGATAGACAGACAGACAGCTGGGGTCATTCCTGGCTGCTCTGCAGGTTGTGGCTGCTGCTGGGAGCTTCCTCCAGAGAGCAGTGCCCAGAAAGTGCTGGCGCCCAGGCATTTCTCACTGAGCCCCATCTCTCCAGACCCCAAGATAGGGCTGTGATTAATCAGCAACAAAAGCAGAGATAAACAGAAAAAGTAATCAGCTTGGAAGGGGCTGTGGCAATCAGCTTTCCTGCTGGGGTCTTTGGCTGATTGGACCAAAGAGGGCAGGGAGGTGGTTCCAATGGGGACTTCAGAGGTGGTACCCAAGCTGGGGCCATGTCCAGGCCAGGTCACCCTCTGCCATAAATATCCAAGCATATCTGGTCACACATATCCATGCCACTCCCAGCCCAAGGGCCTGAACACCTGCCCAGAGGCTCAAATCTATGGGGTCTTGCCCTCTTCTCCTTTGCCGGCTTTCAGCCCTGGCACACACAGGTGGCCATGCACACTCTGGACACGCATTCATCTACTTGTAGACTCACAAACGTGTGCGCACACCTGGTGGCACATACACACCTTCACTGATAACAGACACCCCATGGACATGCTGCTCCTTCCACCACCTGCCCATGCCCCCAACCCCGACCACACATGCTCTGGGGAAGCCCTGAAGGCTCACTAGGTCTGACCTGCAGCCATGCCACCAACAAACCCTCACACTGGATCCCCCCATTCAGGCACCTGCTCTTGTGTTTGCCCCTCACTGCCTAGGAAGGGGGCGTGAGACAGGCCCTGGCTCCTCCTCAGCAGCCTCAGTGTTACCAGCTGGGGAAGGATCCAGAACTGGGCCCTGGTGTAGGGGGCAAGGTCGGTTGCTGAGTGTCAGCCACAGGGCAGGAAAGCCTACTCCAGACCTGTACCGAGCTCCTGCCCTCTGCCCCTGCCCATGACCTTGGTAAACGTCCTTCTCTTTCAGCCTCAGTTTCCCCACCTTGGAGCAGTTCCTGGCACCAAAACGGTGATTCTTCTCGAGGACGCAGGCACCTGGGCGGGATCTCACCTGTCTGTGTCTCGAGTCCTCAGTTCCCTGCTCTCCACTCACCGTGGGAGAAGATGGGGGAGGTGAGCCAAAGGGCAGGAAGGAAGGGCCCCACCTCCAACCCACCCCCTCCCTGGACCTGGTGGCTGCGGACTTGGAGTAGGGGGAGACAGTGATCTGAGGAGATGTAAGGGGAAAGAGGAACTGGGCCGAAGGGAAGAAGGAGCCCCTGGCGGATTTGGGGCGGCCGCTCTGGGGCCGGCGGCGCGAAGGGGCGGGCGGGGGCAGCGCGGAGGGGG